TTTTTGAAATTGGAATAAAAAAAAAAAATTTTAAGTTAAACCGAAATTAAATTTTTTCGTTTTTTTTCTTTTTTTTTTTTTCTATTTTTTTTTTAATTTTAATTTTTTTTTTTTTCCATTTCTCACAAAAATCCAAACCAATAAATGAGTAATAATATAAAGTTTTTACAATGTTTTAAATATATTAAAAATTTTAATTTAGGAAATAATGTGAAACCAAATTTTATCAATAAAAACCAAATTAAATTTTCTACCATTAAAATCTCAACAACTAAAATTTTAAATAACATTAAAATTGAAAAAAATGATGATTTAAAATTTTATTCAACATTTAATAGATTTAGTAGAGGTGGTGTTTCATCAAAAAAGACAGGAACAACAACAATAGCAACAACAGCAGCAGCAACAACAGCAACAACAACAACAACAACAACAACAACAACAGCAACAACAAGTGAATCAGAAGATAATGGATATAATTTTAATTTTGTAAATCCAGATTCAATTCAACCATTTAAACCAAGACATTTACCATATGAAACTACAACAGATTTAGATTTTTTAGTACCACCAGGTCATACACCAATAGAATCATCTGAAACATTAAATAAATATTTAAAACTTGCAAAAGCATTATCGGCTGTTGGTTATGAACATCAAGAGAATCAAAAATGGGAAGATGCATTAGAATCCTATAATAAAGCTCTATTTTATATTAGAAATATATTTGCATCTGAAAATTTTAGAGATAAAATAGATTTACGTGATTTTGCAGTATTATTAAGCAATTCAGCGGAATCATATTCTAGAATTGATAAAATGAGTGATGCAAAGACACGTTCAAAACAATCGATTGATTTATTAGAAGTTTATTGGAGAAATCAAGTTAGTTCCAAACCATCAACAAAATTATTGTGGAAAAAGGATGAAATGTTGGGTATTTTCTATAGTAACTATTCAGAGTATTTGGTCGATGATGGAAATTTTGAAGAGGCAGAACCATTTTTAGTTAGATCGCATGAGATTTTAGAGAGAATATATCCATTGGGACATCCAATAAATGTAGAAATTGGTATTTCATTGGTTAAGGTTTTAAATGAAATGGGTAGATCAAAAGAAGTCGAAGAAATCTTTAAAAAGTATGGTGATACTATAACTGATGCAATGGGCAAAACTGAAGAATTTAAACATATATCTGAAAAGGTTGAAACTGATATTAAATTTCAAATGATTGAACAAATTAAAGATCAATATCCAGAGTTAGGTTTAGATCATAAAGATTTTGATAATGATGAAGATGAAAATGAAAACAATGATGAAAGAGATAAATACTTGGATGATAGTGATAGACTTAGGGATTATGTTGAAAATGGTGATGATCACTTAATTGAATATGATGAAAATGGTGATTTAATTGTAAAGAATAAAAATCAACAAAAAGATGATGATGATGGTTATAATGAACCAGAATATAAATCTAAATTTAAAGAATTAGAATTCGATGTCAGTGATTTACTAATTTTAGAACAAGATTTAATTGAATCAAAAGAACAGGAAATCCAACTAAAAAAACAACAAAGATTTAAAGAATTATCAAATAATAATATTGATGAAAGTGAAGAAATAGATGAAGATGGTTTGGCATTTAAAGAAAGGGATTTCAATGAATTAGAAGAAGAAGAAGATGATGAAGAAGATCTTTTTGATTTCGGAGAGGAAGGTGATGAAGATGAGGGTGATCGTGAAGATTTAGGTGAAGATGAAATGCATCCAAGAGAGGAAATGTTAAATTTAAAATTAGAACAAGACGAAGAACTATTGAAACAAAGAGGTGGTAAAGTATTTTCAACACGTCATCCATTAGGAAATGTTTTAAATGAATTTGATTCACTATTTGATGAAGCAACTCAAAAATATACAGATGTTCAAACAGAGAGAGTAATTGATCGTGAAGAGCGTTTAATCAATAAACATTCTGGTATACCAGAGAAAGTTATCTATAAAGATGGTAAAATCATTACACCAACTGATGAACGTGGTGAACCAATTTCACAAGGTGCTATTGATAAATGGGGTAAATTCTATGCAGAGGATTTAGTTCAAGAAGATGTCGAAGAGGAGGAAAAAGTATTAAATGATTACATTGGTAAAATGGGTAGTTTAATGAACTCAATGTCAAAAAAAGATTCAAAAACATTGGATAGAGAATTCAAAGAAATGTATCCTAAATTCAAAAAACTACTTTCTCAACCAAATCCAGAGAATTATTTAAACACTTCTCTAATGGATGTCGAAGAGGATGAGAAACAACAAAAACAATTAATAGTTGAAGAAATGAAAATGTTAAAAGAACGTCTACAAGAATTAAATGATGAGGGTGTTAAAACTGATGATCAATCAACTGGATCTACTGATGATAGCTATTTCGATGATGACTTTGATGACTTTGATAATCCTGATGATTTTTATGAAGAAGATAATCATCTTTCCGATAAATTAAAATCATCATCCTCAATATCTAAAAATCACAATCAAAAATATAATAATAATAATAATAATAATAATAATAATAATAATATTGATGATAATATTTCAGAAAAGAATTATATAAATTTTTTAAATACAGCAAAAGAACTTAATTTTGATCAAGATAAAATTATTAAAAAATTAGGTGAAAAGGAAATTGAAAAATTACAAACTCATCTCAATATTAATCAAGAAGAAGAGGAAGAAGATAAATTAATTAGTGGATTATTTAAAAATTCAAAATCAATTAAAAAACAAAATCAAAAAATTCAACAATTAGATGAAGAATCTGAGAATGACGATGATGATGATGATGATGATTCATTAAAAGGTTTATTAAAAGATCTTGAAGAATTAGATGAAAATCAATCACATGACGATGATGAAACAATTGATTTGGATGAATTTGATGATTTTGAAGATATAGATAATGATCAAACTATTGATGAAAGTAACCCTGAAAAAGATTTAGAAAGATATTTGAAAAAAGTTTCAAAATCCAATTCATTTAAAGATTTTATAAATGATATTAAAAAGAAATAGAATAAAATAAATAAATAAAATAAAATAAAATAAATATTTAATTTTTATTATTTTTTTTCTTAGATTATTAGACATACTATAATTTTTTTTTTTTTTTTTTTTTTTTTTTTTTTTTTTTTTTTTAAAAATTGTTTTTTTATTGATCTTTTAGGGAACTGATATTTCTAAAGTTTTCATTTCTTATTATTTTGATAGCAATTAAATTTTATTAATTTTTTTATTGGGTGTATTTAAAAAAAATTATTGGTTCAATAAAAAAAAAAAAAATTTATAAAATTGGCCAATAGTTTCTTTTAATGAAAACTCTCAAAGAATTTGAAAAAATTAAATTTAATTGGTTTGATTCGGATTGTTCAAGATTTTGGGATTTTTTTTTTTTTTATAAAAATTATAGGGACTTAAAAAAACAAAAATAAAAACAAAAAAAAAGTTTATGCACACAAATTCAAAGTCTTAAGACTTGATTCATGATTGTTATCTATTTTTTTTTTTTTTTTTTGTTCATTGGTGGAATTTACCGAGCAAAGCCATACAAGTCCTAATGTTGGGAAAAAAAAAAATCTATTTTAAAAAATTTAAAAAAAAAAAATCTCAATTTCAAAGAAAAATCATTTTTCCCCTCATTTTTTTTAAATAATAATATCGTATTTTCTTTGTTTCAATCCACCAATCATTTTTTTTTTTTTTTTTTTTTTAAATTTTATATTGTTTTATTCTTTTTTTTCTTTTTTTTTTTTTTTTTTTTAAATCCATTCTATAATTTTTTTTTAAAAATTTCTCATCATAAATAAAAACAATTTTAATTGAAACAATGAATATAAATAACTATTATAATAATATTAATAGTACTAATAATAAAAATTTTAATAATTTTAATGAATCAATTCAAGGGATAGTAAATCAAAGAAATAATCTTTTCAAAGAGGTAAATTAATAAATTTTTTTTTTTTTTTTTTTTTTTTTTTTTTTATTATAATAAATTTTTTCTAACAATTTTATTATTATTTTAATTATTTTTTTCTCTATTAGATTGAAAATATAATAAAAGAACAAATTAATGAAGGTGGAGACAATGAATCACTAATTAGAGCTTTTGAGTTAATAATGTCAATTGAAGAGAAAATAAAAAAAATAAAAAATTTAAATGATCTTCAATGTGATATATCAGAATATACAAATCAAACAAATACAACAAATTCAATAATGTTGATGTCTACATCTCCATTCTCTTCACCAATATTGGGCAGTATTCCTTTATTTAATCCTTCAGTTTATAGTAATAGTATTCAGTCATATCAACATCCTCAAACTTCAAAACCAAAATCAACGATTAACAACCAATCTTCATTAGAAAAACAAAAAAAACAAAAAAAAGAAGAAAAAGAGGAAATAGAAGAATTAGAAGAAATAGATGATATAGTAGATAGTTTAAAACCAAATAAACCAAAAAGAGGCAGACCATTAAAACCAAAACCAGAATTTTGTTTCCGTTGTGGTACAAGATCATGTCCTTATTGGAGAAAGAGTAACATCAAAGGTCAATTGGTTGATGTTTGTAATGCATGTGGTTTACATATAATGAAAAAAGAAAAAAAAGATTTGGAGGAAAAAGAAAAAAATAGTATTAAAAATTTATTAAACTATGACGAAAATTTTGAAATTGGTTCAAAAATTTACATTAAAATAAAAAAATAAAAAATTAAAATTGTAATAGTAACAATCTCAAAATATTTTTCTAATCACCCAAATTTTGTTGTTGTTTGGAAATTGAGAGTTTGAATTTTTATAATTTTCGTAGAATTCGAAGATTTTACATATTCCCCACTTATGGATTAGTATATGTTGACTATGAATAAAACAGAAATCGAGGCTTATACGAAGGGAGTCGAACCAGCGACCTAATCCGTGTTGGTGAGAAAAATTTCTGTTTGTATTCAGAGCGGGAATCGAACCCACGACCTAATCCGTGTTAAGGATTCGTGATAACCGACTACACCATCCGAACAGATTTATGAAATTGTTGTAATAAATGTACTCTATGGTTTGACTTGGTTTTAGGTATCTTTGTATTTATGTTTTTATAATCTCTACAATCTTTATTTTATTTATTTAATTTTTATATTTGTTTTATTTTATAATTATTTATTTTATAGTTATTTGATTTCTTTATCTTTATATTTTAATTTAATGATTCACACTTTAATAATTAACACTTTAATAATTTTACTTTATAATTCACTTTATTATTTATTTTTACTTTTTATTATTTCACCTTTTTATAATTTTACTTTTTAATTTACTTTTTAATTTACCTTCTAATTTTACAATTTGAACTGAAGAAAGCATCTTGTATTTATAGTGCCATAAATGAGTTGTCAATGTTACATAAATTATTTTGACACATGTTTATAAATTATTGTAATTTTACAAATTAATATAAAAAGAGTGGTTCTAATAAATATTTACAGATTTCTATAATTATCTAAATTAGTGTAAAAGAGAGTAGTACTATCGTTACATTGTTAAAAAATGCAGTGAATACTATCAACATTTTTGAGGGGCTTAGCATGGTTTCACACTGAATAACACAGCCTCCATGGCCTTGTTTCAAGTCTTGGTCATACCACGAATTAACGTGGTCACAGAAAAAAATTTAAATTAAAATAATTAATAAATAAAAAAAACTAGATTCGAACACATCCAATTGGATGAGGTTATTAAAAAAAAAAAAAAACTATCAACAACCAACGAACGGTCAAAAACTAATCAGAGCAATGTTTACCTTGCAATACTGCCATTTATAGAAGCTAGAAAAGTGTCAATAAATAAAGGAAGAGATATAGTCTGGAGGTATTTTCTAAAAGCATTACCTAAAATATATGGAGACCGATGTAGATCGTGTGGAGAATTAGAAACATCGAAACATATATTTTTTGAATGCAGTAAAATCAAGCCCATATGCAATAGAATATACTCAATTATAATGGAAGAATCAAAAAACTATCGACTGAATAATTTATAGGATTCGGATATTATTATTTTAAAAACAAGTATTTACAATTTTTTTTTATTTAAAAAAGATGAAAAAGAAGACCTAAATCGAACTTTGACTTCCACCATAGATATCAGTTTCGGAAGTTGTTAAATAATCATCACTTTTTAAACTACCATTTACTGATGAATCAATATCATTCTCTCTGCCTATTGGAACTGCAGGTGAATCTATTGAACCTTTTTGAGGGTTTTGTTTAATGTTTTGTTGAATGTTTGATTGTACATTAATTAAAGAAGTGGCACTGCTACTTGCATGGTTTTTGCCACTGCCACTACCACTACTTCCACGATTATGATAATTAAGATTACTATTTTCATTTGAAACACTCTTTCTACGAGCACCTCCAGATGGCCTATTTAAAATCTTTTTCTTCTTCTTTATCAATTGTAATACAGGACTACCCAAAACATTATTTCTAATGGAGTCAACCCATTTGTTGGCCTCTCCAATGGTGGGAGCTTTCAATAAATATTTAGTATGCTGACCTTCTACCGGACCAGTTGGCATTAATTTAACAGATTTAATGGTTCCAACTGTTGAATCTTCAATCTCAAAAATTAAATCCGATAACAATGTAACTTTCAAACCTTCTAATGGTATAATTACTTTAGGATGATCCTCCTATAAATAAAAATAGACCAACAGTAATAAAAATTAGCAAATAAGTTAATCTATAAAAAAATTAATGTAAAAAGAAAATACATACGTCTTTTTCATTTTTGAAATAATACAAACAATTGTTTTTCAAAACAAACCATCTTCTTTGCCAAGTTTTTTCATTTGAAGTCATTTTATTTAACCAACCTTTAATCAAAGCATTTGAAAATAAAGAATCTCCATCCATCTTTAATTCGCAATTAATGATTCTATCATATAAACTCTCTAAATATTCTATTGGTAAATCTTTTTTACCCTTGAAACCAGTATTATTCTGAACAAATGATTTCTTAGTCATTTTATTCTTTATAGCTGGATTATGAGCATCTGTATTCAATAAGATCAATGAAAATGCTAATAAATAGGCTGTGTCAGAATCTGGGAATGTACCTGGATTATCTCTATGATATTTTCTTGCAAATGACTCCATAATTCTATCAATTTTTTGTGCTTCACCTGGCAATCTAAATTTCGATAAAAATTCTCTCAACGATTCATCAAAATTCTTTGATTGGAAATTATATTGATCAAGAAATTGTTGTAAAATATTAATATTAATTGGGTTGCTATTAAAGAATGAGAGAGAATAGTTTGACAATTAGTATCATTTATATTATTTAACATTATTAAAAACTTAAAAACTTACTTTTCACCCAAATAATCACCAACTTTAACTTTATTTAGACCGTCAACATTATATAAAAATGTTACAATATCTCTATATGGGGTTTGTAATAATAAATTATTTTCTTGAATAAATTGAATTCCCTAAAAAACAATAATAATTAGTAACTTAAATAAATAATTAAATAATTAAATAAAAATGAATAATAGTTACAGTTTCAGGATTTTTATTAAACTTTCTCATAGCAACTCTTAATGGTTCCTCAGGTTGGATTATACCATATTGAGGTTTAATGGTTAATTTATCCAATATATCAATATCCAAATCACTCGATGTATCTTTAATATTTTCTTCGTCTACTAATTCTTTTAAAACTACAGATTCTACTGACCTAATTTCTTTTATAAGTGGTTTAATCCATAATATACAAGTAATCTGTTGTTTTAAAAAACTATATTGTTAATAAAAGAAAATTATTTTTAATATATATATATTTAACATACAGTCCACATATAAAATAAAACTGCGATTCCAACGCATAAAATCAAACTGGCCCACCAATTTGAAATTACTAATGGGTCTTTGTAATATGATAATAATCCAACTGCGATTGTAACTAAAATGATTAATCCTAATGAACAAAATTTCCAATAATAAAACTAAAAGGACAATAGAAAAATATATTAGTGTTTTGTTAACTGTTTTTGCAAAGATATGTTTTAATATATATATAATTTATATTTACTATTTTTAAAAGCAAAGGTCTAATTTTCAATAGAGAAAAGAAACCGATTATTGAAAAAACCAAAAACAAAGAACCAAAACAACCATATATTAACAAGGTTATATGATGTCTGATGATACCAATTATCAATGGATACAATGTACCTATTCCAAAAAGTATCTCAAATAAAACAACGATTATACAAGGAAAACTTGAAGGTTTTTTTGTACGTCCAATCTTTGAAGTCAATTTTGGTGAAAAATTTGATGAATCATCTACACTTGTACCACTTTTTGTATTTTCATTCTTGATATTCTCTCCGTCTTCAGTCTCTGTATTATAGAATGATTGTTTTTGTTCTAAATTTGTCGAACACATTATTGGTCGTTTTATTGTTACTGATTCAGGTGTTATTGGGGTTTGAACCAGTCCCGTTGGACTAAAACTATTTGATGATGATGCTATCAAATTACTATCTAATAAATAACTACTACCTCTAACTATTGGGTTCTGTTGCGTATTATTAACATCACTATTATTATTATTATTATTATTATTATTATTATTATTATTATTATTATTATTATTATTATTATTATTATTATTATTATTATTATTATTATTATTAATATTATTATTATTATTATTATTATTATTATTATTATTATTATTATTATTATTATTATTATTATTATTATTATTATTATTATTTTCACTTTCTTCTAAACCATTATTAATATTGTTATTATTTTTAGTAGTATCGATACTTTTAATAGTAGTTTCATTATCTATAATTATTTTGTCTTCATTATTTCTTTCACCACTGTTTAATATATTATTAATAATAATGGTGTCTTTGGCAACACTATTATTTTCTATTAGAATATCGTGCATACTGGTACTATTTTTCATACCACCACTATTACTATTATTTTTGTTTAAGTTTATATTTAAATTATTATTGGTACTATTGTCTTCTTCTTCAAGTAGAATTGTGGTGTTTGTTGAAGAATTTGAATTATTGGTTTCCATTTTTTTTTTTTTTTTTCAAGATTTTTTTTATAGTTTTTTTTTTTTGGTTTCCAATATAATTTATATATAGGTATATAGGTATTTGGATGGTTTAATGTTTTACATGTAATTATATAATTATTTTATGTGAAAAAAAAGAGTGAGGGTGTATTTTTTTTTTTTTTTTTTTTTTTTTTTTGACAGTGGGTGTTTTTTTCTTTTTTTATTTTTTTTTATTTTTTATTTTTTTTTCTTTTTATTTATTTTAAAAGAATATATTTAATAAATATAAAACAAAACAGGAATACTGAAATTCTGTGTTTGATTTAAAAAATATAAAATAAAAATAAAAAAAGAATTTCTATTACTTTTTTTTTTTTTTTTTTTGATCACCTGTAAATATTATAAAATTGATTTATTGTAATTTATTGTTAGTATTAATAAATTAATTAAATATAAACAATAACATTTAAAAAAAAAAAAGAGAACAAAATGAGAAGGAATAATATTTTTTTTTTTTTTTTTAATCTTTAATTTATTTTTTAAAAGTTTTATTTTTTAAAATTGGTGAATGCTAGAGATATTTATGGGGTGGTAATCAAATAATAAAATATAATTAATTTCAAAATGGGGAACAAATATTAAAATAAAAAAATAATAATATTAATAAAAAAAAAAAATTTTAAAAACCAAAAAACACAAAATACACACACAGCGTTAAAAATGATATTGCGTAAATATTAACTTAAAACTACAAAATAAAAACAAGCTACTCTATTGTATTTTGATGAGAAAAGAATAACAATATAAAAAGAAAAGGAAAATAATAAAATAAAAATAAAAGAAAAAAGAAATTTTTGATAATAAAAAAAAAAAGGAAAAAAAAAAATTAAAAAAAAAAATAAAAAAATAAAAAAAAAAAAACACACTACC